AAAAAAAAAAACCCATAAACCAATATACTGAGGAAATCTGGTAGACATTCCTTCTTGAGTTAAAAACAAGATGAGCAAGGATGCCTGGGTGACTTAGTCAGTTAAGAGGCTGATTTTTGGTTTTGGCTTAGGTTGTGATCTCAGGGTCATGGGATCAAGCCCCATGTCAGGCTCCGTGGTCAGCAGGGAATCTGCTTGAGATTCTCTTTCTCCCTCTATCCCTACCCCAAAGTGTGTTCTCTCTCTCTCAAATAAATAAATAAATAAAATCTTAAAAAAAAAAACAAGCATTTTTATTGAAACAATTAGCCAATGAAATTAAAGGAAAGAAAATGGAAGGAAGGATATCAAATTTTCACTATTTATAAATACATTCCTGGATAACACTGAAGAATTGATGAGAAAACTACAAAAATATAAAATAATTAAATAAGAAAGTGGGTTAAAATTAATAAAAAGATATTAATAGCTTTCACATATATAAATATCAACCAGATAGAAGAAGAAAGAGAAAAGAGTCTATGTACAATAATAGCAAAAGATAAGGAAACAGACCAACAAAGAAATGCACAGGACTCATATAAAGAAAATATTTAAAAAATAAAAACTCTTACAGGACACACAAGAAATTATGGGCAAATAGAAAGTTCTTGGATAGAAAGAGTTGACATCAAAAACATATAATTTAACCCTAAGTAATTTATGAATTTAATGTGTTCCTAGTAAAATATGGTTAAAAACTTAACTGAACTAGTTTATTTATAGTAAAAAAAATTAATATAAAGAGCAACCAAGACACTTTTAGAGAAAAACAGCACTGAGGTAAGTTAGCACCACCATATTATGAAGCACAGTTTAAAACATTAACAATTAAAATTGTGACAATAGCTCATGAAAAGTTGGGTGAACTAATGGGATAGAAGAGAAAGTTTCAAATCAAACTCAAATAAATGAGAAAATGTATGATATAATTAATGTAACATCTCAAATCAGTGAGAAAAAGATGAACTATCCAGTATATTATATGGGAAAAATGGCAGAGTAGCCTAAAAAAAAATATTGCTGATTGATACTTCCTCCTGTACCCTAGGATAAATCTTCAAACCCAAGACATTTCATGTCGCTGCTATGTCTGTGACCTCTCACTGTTAGCAAACTTGCTTTTCAGCAATAAATTGCCTACCTGTTTCTGATATTTCCCAGTTCACCCCTAGAATAGAGATCTGTATCCCTCACATCTGTGAAATCACAGTTACTTATTTTGTGGTTTAATCTTTATTGTCCTTTCCCTACAACTTAACCAAGTAAGAACGTGCAGTTCCTGAGAGTTTGGGCCCTCGAATTTTCTGGTCAAATTTAGATGTGTCAGAATAAAAGTACACTTGCTGTGCTTCCTCTGTGTCAGGGCACGGTTAACCGGCAGCGCAGAGAAGGCGCAGTGGCTGCGCTGTGCCTTACCTTCTCTCCGCGGAAGGCGCATTATCCGCGGCCTGGACCGTGAGCGCGTAGGTGTGCCCCACGGTCAGTGCCACCCCTGGGGCGATGGTGATGAGCCCCGTGGTGTGATTGATGATGAAGTCGCCCTGAGCCCCCATCAGGATTTCGTACGTGATCTCCCCGTTGGACCCTTCGTCTGCGTCCACGGCTGTGAGCTGGAACAGAAAACCACATCGTCAGTCCTCCTGGGGCTCAGCTTTCCATCCCGTGTCCCTGTCCCCTAACAAAAGGAGCATGCTTTCAAAGACAAAGTATAGGTGAAGAAAGATCTCTTGGCACATTCGCTCTTGTCTTGAAGGGTGGCAAGGGTGCACCCATTTGGAAGCAATCCCAGCAGGAAGGTTTTTTTTTTTTTTTCTTTTCTTATGAAAGTGATAAAAGTTTTGGATCTTGAAGACTGTCTTTATTTTAATTTACTAAAGGAAAGAAGAGAAAGGGTCTAACAGCAAATCTAATATCACTATGGGAAAGTTAATTTTTTCCTTCTAGGTTACCTCCTGTTCTGGACATAACACAGATTACTGCCTACCGAGACTGGAGAAAACCTAGTGGGTGAAGTCTGTCTTTATTACTGTCATCCTTCCTTCTGCTTTTGCCTTTTACATCCATACTATTTTCCTTCCGTCTCTCAGAGAGTCTCCCGTCCTTGCATCCTTTTTATTTCTACTTCGCTTTAGGAAAGATCTTTATGATCTTGTTCACACTGACTTACAAAAGACGGAAAAGGCCTAAGGTATTGCCTTTCCAAAATCAAACAAATGCATCTCTGATTGTAGAATAGCTTACTAAAAAATTAGACTGTCAAGCCCAAGAAGTTTTGTTGTTGTTGTTGTTGCTGTTGTTTTTGAGAAAAGAGAATGAATTCAGAGGCCCTTGATATCACCACATGAGCATTCCTTTTTTTTTTTTTTTAAAGTTTTTATTTATTTATTTTATTTATATAAATGTTAACAGATGCATACATATTTATACACTTTAATGTTCGAAGTTAATATTTTGAAAATACTGGCAGTCCCTTTCTAGGGAAAGTAAGATATCCCTGTTCCACTGACATCAGCTTTTGCCATGCAACCTAAGGTGCCATTTGTCTACATG